TGAAGAAGGAACGTTGTGGCACTAGTTTAAATTCATATTTTGACATCATATTGTAATTGGTTTTGAACATGTACTCTTTTACAATGTAAACTTTCAATTATATATATGATGGTTGTATTGCTTTCTTTAATATGTATTCATTTGTTATGTTACCACATGAAGTCATCCACCCACGAACGTTTCTACCGTTCCGGTTTGGGGGTGTAACAATTAAGTTAGTGAGTTCATAAGTATGTTATATAAATAACTTGTTTGTTCTATGAAATATGTATTTCTTCTTTCAGAAAATCCTATATTTTCTGTTGTATATACCTTTGTTTTCAGAAGTAGTATAGTCTTAACCTTCCATAAGACTTTGAAAAATAAGATAACTCAGAAATTGTATAGTATTCTATACCTATACTTGTAATAAAACTTGTTAAATAGTATTATAGTTTTAATATATTAAAACTATATGAAGTTGTTACTTATTCTTACACCAAACTTAATTATCAATTTCAAAGTTGTGAGTTGTCATAACCATACTTGATGACCTAATCCTCGCCTGAAACACAACGTTCTTCAGGAGTTGTATTACGGTACAACAATTGTCATCCCATATAGATCTATATACAAGTGTCACGCTCTCCCTCAAGGAGACTCTGGTTATAACTTTCAGGGCTTTTGTTTTATACTTGAATAAGTACTTGAAGTGTGTCTCACCATTACCTTATTGATAATTTTGTGTAAAATATTGAAAAGTATTCTTGAAATAGTCATATCATAACTATATTACAAATTATAATTAATATAATATATATATATATTTGATTTCATCAGAAACTATGACTATGTAGTAAACACATGTACTTCCATAAAGTATATTAATAAGTTTGTATGAATAATAAATTACACCTATTATAATTTATATGTTTATTGTAGCAAATAGTTCCAAATGAATGCAATAGTTTATTGACAATAATAATATAACAAAAGAATAAGTTTTATCATTTACATGAAAATTTCCTTGTATTTTAGTTGTATTTCCCCCCTAAAACATTATAAAAATAGTGAAAACATAGGGGTATAAACTCATTTGATAGATGGTGAATTGGACAGAGTTTTGATAGGAGAGAGGTTACTTCTCGGGAATCTTGGGGCTTCGGGGCTTGCTCGGTGTCACACCCCGAAAATCAAAGGCGGAAACATTTCCAAGGTGGACTCCACATTGTGTATCAAATCCAATGTACATAGTAATCACAGTAAACAATCATTACATTACATATATATATATATATATATATATATATATATATATATATATATAAGAAAGTTTACATTTGTTTTAAAAAGTAAAGTTATACAAGATATACATATGCATCATATTAACAAAAGTTGAGACGAGTCTTCTGAGCACTCTGTCTTCACCAAAAGAGATCACCGGGTACTTGTCTAACTTGGACCTGAGAATACAAGCGGTTTCAAAATTAGCATAAAGCTGGTGAGTTCATAAGATGTTTGTTTTTTTGAAAATGTACCAATTTCCTTTAGTTTTCCGAAAAAATTTTGTTATCCAATAAAATCCCATATTTTCTTATGTAAAGTTAGTTTAGTTATCATTTGTTACCAATTCGATTTCGTGTTGTATTTTACCCCAGGAAAATCCCATATTTTCCTAATTGTAAGACCGGTTGTATATCACAAAGTATAGTTTAATACACAAAACTATATATTGAAAATCATGGGATCACTATCCCGAACGGAATATAGATAGTTTGATATATATAAAAATATAGATTGGAAACCATGGGAATACTATCCCGGACAAGATATAGATTTAAACCATGGGATTACTATCCCGAAATAGATATAGTTTGGAAACCATGGGATCACTATCCCGAACAAGATATAAGTGTAAACCATGGGATTACTATCCCGTACAAGTTATAGATACCATGCAAAAAGTAGATACGGAATCAAAACAAAGTCAAAACCAAACCCAAAAAGATACTGTGAATAAACTTATATAAATACATATTGTGAGTTGGGTAACCATGCTGATACAACAACGAGACCTCCTTGACGCTTGTCAGACGTCGAATGATATCCAGAAATTTGTCACCCCAGGCGCGCCGGCCTAACTGTAGCTAGCAGTTAAGGTGTGGGATTGTCAGTCCCGAATAGATCTATTCACAAATTCCTCTCTCTCCCTCCAGGAGACTCTGGTTACACTTCCGGGGAGGATTTACTGATCATCCATAAAGGGTAGTGACTACTCACAAACTAGTACTAAACTATTCACAGGATTCTCATACGATATCAAACATACAAAGATTATGAAACATAATACAGCGAATATAGATACATACAATGAAACTATCTGGCAATACAATCAAGTGATACGGAGATAAACTGAATCAGACATAGTTTATCTAATGACTTTATATACATATTAGTACATGATAAAACGAACACTAAAGAACCCCAAATTATTCCCATAATAATTTGATTAGTTTGGTTATTTTCTTAACTAAAATCCATTTAATTGTAGTTGATAAATCATCCCTTATGCTCAACATAATACATAAGGGGTAAAAATGTTTATAAATTTGCCAAATATTATTTGAAACACATCAATGTTAATTTTTGAAAATAGTTATAGTTTGCATGTATTCCCCCCCCCCCCCCCCCCCCCCTCTGAAAACATTGAAAAACATGGAAAAAGCGTAGGGGTATGAACTCACCGGACGAGAAATGTGACGATTGCGGACGTTAAATGTTGGTTCGGGGCTTGCAAACGTACAAGATTCCTATGTAAAATGAAAAGATACACATTTGTATCTAATTAGGACTTAGATTACTTAATTGTTAGGGACAAACACTTTTAGTCGCGGAAACACCCCATTTCAAGTGTTTGGAAGGACCCGGGTGGCGTTTAAGGATGTGTAATGATGCGAGGGACTTGGGAAATGAGTTTACTCCCCAAGAGTAAACTCCCTAATGGAGTTTTCGGCCATAACACCCATTCCCCATGAGTTTACAGCCGTAAACTCATGGTGGGGTGGTTTATGGTGAAAGTTAGCTTGAAACACTTAGGGGATAATTTCTAGGTTTGGTTTAAGGGCTTGGAATGGATTTTTAATATCAAAATGACTAAATTATGGGAGTTTATGGCCTAGCATGGACTCCTGGCCGTAAACTCCTAAATACCTATGGAAAATGTGTTAAATGATGCCAAAACCAATCACATGTGAAGGTACCTAAGGGAACGTACCTTAATCCATCTACAAGGTCTTAATCCATGATTTAATCTCGAATTTGGAAGCCAAATATGCTATACATTAAGGTTAGGAAGGTACCTTAGGGATTTGAGGCTTTCAAATTGAGTTTTGGACCCTTAAACTTGGATTTAGGAGAGAGGTTAGAGAGAGAGTAGAGAGAGGAAGAAAAAGCTTCAAATGAATGTTTAAACATGCTTAAATAGTTCCCAAAACTTGGACACGGTGGAATTCTACCCGATACCGATATTAAACGGGGCTTTAGGTCGCACCCGATTAAGTTTTCGTCACCCGGCGGGGATGTTTCTAAGCTTTTTGAAATAAATGGTTTGGGCTAATTACTTGAGTTCCTAAGGGGTTTGGACACTCATTAGCATTAATTAAACATATAACTTAATTAACTTAACCCAAAAACGACATCGAAACGTTTCGATATACAGCAGGTTATACGTGTAGAATGGGTTTTTCGACGATGGAAAACTCCGGGTTGTTACACTCGGGGTCTAAGGTATGCTTCGGGGGCTTTAGGGATTGTTGGTGAAGTGTTGGAAGTGAAAGGAGTGAAAGATATGAAGTTTTGGTGAAAAAGTGGCTAAAATCTGAGATGTCTCGCAGCCTTTATATAGGCGCGAAGGTTCGGTCTGAAGGGGAGTCACCAGACACGCGGCATCAGCAGCGAAGTCCACGTGCGAAGTCGGAAGCAGCAGCGTGCGAGGCTCGGATTGGACCATAGTTTGGTCCAATGGGAAGCGGGCACGTGCGAAGCGGAGCGAGGGAGGAGAAGTCGCGTGGCTCGGCTCGCAGGATGCCACCGGTGCGAGGCGCGTCGACTTCCGATTGGACCTCGGTTTCGGACGAATCAGCATGTGGCACGGGGTGAACATAGGAAGGCTGCTGATGTGAGATGAGGTGGCACATGTACTATTCATGCGAAATTATCCGGATTTTTACTATTTTTCTTTATTTTTGAGCCAAAAACTTGTAAAATTCATAACTTTCGCATACGAACTCCGTTTTTCACGTTCTTTACATGCACGCGTAGGTAAAATTATACTCTACAACTTTCCTTTAGACTTTGTTGGGTAATTTTGAATTTATTTTTAATATTATTATTTTTAACAGACCGGGAGAGGAAAATCCGTTAAAAATTCATAACTTCTTTATCCGACGTCCGTTTTCGTCAGACTTTTTACCGTTATACTAGTATTAACGAGACCTTCGATTCTCATTTAAGTTGTTTCAGTTAAAACTCGCTCGAGCTTTATTTCTAGTTTTTAGCTGTCTACCGCTAATTCGAACTTTAGAAAAATCATAACTTCTTCGTACGAAGTCAGATTCAAATGTTCAATATATGAAAATTCATTATTTTTACGAGTTCTACAACTTTCATTAAGGTCACTAAGGCTAAAAAGTAGTTTATCAAAAACTCACTTTTTACGTGAAATAGCGTTTGCCGGATTTGTCGCGGATCTTCGATTGGTCATAACTTCTTTGTTATAACTCGGTTTTGGGAGTTCTTTATATTTTTAGAATCCTTGTTAAAATCTCTATGACTTGGTTCATCCCAATTGAGATTATTTAACACTTTAATTTTGAGGGTCAATTATGTAAATATACCCAATATGATACAATTTATCTTTATTATTTCAAAAAGAACTACAAATTACACTATTACATAGGTTTGAAATAACGGATTGTTACACCCAGCTCCCACAGACGGATTATAGGCCTCAATCCCCACAAATGTTTTTGAGGACAGATAGTAATGATGGGTTTGAGGACTATTGTTTTGAGGGTGCAGATGCAGAGGCAACCTTTCGGTCACCACATACCCCACACACACCGATGGCACCGAACACACCATTGACGTCGCATGGCTCCGCCTCTAGAGGTATTTCAGGAGGTCACGACTCGAATGTGAGTGATTTTCACGCCTTGTCGTTACCCCTCATCAGTCGAGATGGGGAAAAGTTAGTGTTTTCATCATTTAAAACTTAATTTCTTGATGCTATAATTATACTTATATAGTTTTTCATTACAATAGGTTTGGGGATCAACAAATCCACAGAGCGTGTATAAGTCTCTTTTAGGAGAATTTGGATTGTCCGTGAGCCCAGTTCAGTCAAATTCCAAATGAGGCTCTTATATAGATGTTTTTGCGTTTCGGGGTAATATATTAAATACTTTTTATTGTATCTTATACTCATTTGTTTTTAGTTTGTATTTTTAAATTTATTTTTTATTTTTTATAGACCAAGTACAGGTGGCATTCACAAGAGAATGAGAACATATTTGATGCATTCAAGTGTGTTCTCAAGGATAGATACAGAGATAAGATGAAAGGTATCAGGAGACAATCTGCTAACATGGCACGAGATGATGGGAAACCCCTCCCCCCCCCCCACCCCCACCCCCCCCCCCCCAAAAGTTTTGTAGCTACTATGATGGGATGAATAACTACCACCCCGAACGTGTACCGGAGACTATGTGGCAACGTTTGTGTGATGTAACGGATATGATACATTATTATTTTTTTGTTAAGTTTTTGATTTCTTATTATATTATTGTACTTATATATATTTTTTCTTTTCAAAGCATTGGTCCATAGAGAAGTGGCAAAAGAATTCAAAAATCGCTCAGCAGAACCGCAACACCGCCGATTCTAATGGGTCAACAGCAAGACATACTGCGGGTAGTATAGGATTTGACCAGCACCGTAGGAAATTAGTAAGTATCACAATAATAAATTTTATTATTCTTATTTTGTTATAACACTAACTACATTGATTGTACGTTGACTTTTATGTAGGAAAAATTGATGGGTAAACCACCCACACATTATGATGTTTTCATGAAGACGCATGGCACTGCAGAGTCGAAGAAAAAGTACTTTGAGGGAAATCATGAAAATCTTGAATATTGCTCGCGGACAGCCAAAGAAGCACTAGTAACTTATCTTTATCATTTATGTATATTGATTGTCTCATTTTTTGTATATGACAATCGTATTGTTTTGGTCATTTGTAGGAGGCGTATACGCAGGGATGGTCAACAAATATGGTGAAAATCCTACAAACCATAACGATGATGTAGATATATGGGAGGAAATCCAGCTTAGAAGGAAAGGAAAGAAGAAGGGTACTATATATGGAATAGGAGCATCAGATATATATTTTTTGGTTTCAGGGACTCCATCTTCCCAATCCACCCAGTCCACCCAGTTCACCCAGTCGGATAGCACGCAACAAGAGGTATGTTGATAATATTTATTAAATAGATAATAAACAAAAGTATGTTGCTATTATGGTTAAAAGTTATGTAGTTTGATGATAATATTGATTAAATTGATAATAAACATTAGTACGTTGCTATTATGGTTAAAAGTTATGTAGTTTGTTGATAATATTGATTAAATTTATAATAAACAAAAGTATGTTGCTATTATGGTTAGAAGTTATGTAGTTTGATGATAATATTGATTAAATTGATAATAAACAAAAGTACGTTGCTATTATGGTTCAAAGTTATGTAGTTTGTTAATAATATTGATTAAATTGATAATAAACAAAAGTATGTTGCTATTATGGTTAAAAGTTATGTAGTTTGTTGATAATATTGATTAAACCGACAATAAACAAAAGTATGTTGCTATAATGGTTAAAAGTTAGGTAGTTTTTTGATAATATTGATTAAATTGATAATAAATAAATATATGTTGCTATTATGGTTTAAAAGTTAAGTGTATTGCTATAATTATAAACTAAAATGCATTGTTACAATAAACTAAAATACATTGCTATTATTGTTTTTAAGTATTGAATTGTGTTACCATTTTTAGGTTGATAGGTTGCGTGCGCAAGTTTCCATCATGGAATGACAACAACTACAAATGAAAGAACAGATGGAGATGGTTTTAAGGATGATAAATATGTCTAGAAATCAACCCTGTAGTCCACCCGATAATCCACCCGAAGACAATTGATAAGTACTTTGGAACAATTGAATTCGTAAACACTTGTATTATTTGTTTGTTTTGTTATGCTTAATTTGTATGGTATTTGAGACATTTGTATGGTATTTAAGACAATGGAATTGAATGTGTTAAAGTTGATATTAGGGACATTTTTTGGTGTATTTTGGAAAAATTGAATTGCTATGGTATTTGACAAAAATAGAAAATTTTAATTTCTTTAAAAAAAAATTTTATAAAATGAAATTAGCTACGGATTAGTTAAGGAAATCCGTCGCTAAATAGGTCCGTAGTTATTTCGTAGGAAGAAAGTCAGTTTTAATCAAACTTGAGTTATGTCGTTAATTCGTAGCAAATCCGTAGCTAAACAGTTTCGTAGCTATTACGTAGGAAAATAATTGTTTGGGTAATCCGTAAGAAATCCATAGCTATGAATTTCCGTATCTATTCTGTTGGAACATAGTCAATTTTAGTCAAACTTCACATCCGTCGGCAATCCGTAGGTATTCCGTAGCAATTCGTGTCCGTAGCTATTCCGTAGGTATTATACCTACGGAAAAATCCGTAGCTAATCTGTAACTAGTCCGTAGAAACTCCGTAGGTAAAAATTTCTCACGGGCATTTATGTTACAGGGCATTTTCCGTAGCAAATCCGTAGGTATCGCTTTGTACCTACTGAATAGCTACGGATTGTGTTGTAGCTGTTACCCTAGATTTTTAGTAGTGACAAAACTATCCTAACATTCGAAACAAGTGTGTATTTTGATACCAATATACAAATTGTCAAAAAAAAAAAAAAAAAAAAAAAAAAAAAAAAAAAACCAACCAACTAACCTAACACTGAAAAAGTGTTGATTAAATTTCTAACATTATGGGATAATGCTAGTTTTCAGATAGTTACAAAGTGGATTGTATTAAGGAAGACTAAAAAATTTTGGCAAAGTGTTTACGTATTTGTATTCACACACACGTATTCAGTACTTGGCATGCCTTTTTCTAGTAACAAATTGAAGGAGAAAACCTTGGCTGCAACTTGGTATATTCTGCATAAAAAACTACTAATACAAGGAATATGCATGTAAGGTTAAAAAAAATTAATCCAAAAAGTTCAGAGAAATTACTTTAGTGAGTCTTCAATTTCGTCTCGAACATCTCAAACAGTTCTAAGTTCTAACACTATAGATAGTTTGGAGTAATGCTAGCGTGAATAGTACCGAAGCACCAATGACTGTCAACGTTTTCCAGGTGGTACTTCTGTAAAGGCGTCTCAATGAAATTAATATGCTAGGCCAGAAACGATTGTAGTATTCATCTAAACGTTTTAAAAATCTCCAACGACGATACCTTTGCAAATATTGTTGAAGAGATTTGTGACATCTTCAACGGCTCCCAGGTTGTGTTGAAGGACTTTTGACCTCACTGTTGGTTTTTACAGGGGAAATAAAGACAGTTTTTAACAAAATAGAGGCACAAAGAAACAAGACTGCACAGGGGACAAAACAGTCAAATGACAGCAAGGGTAAAATGGGGAAATGCAGGTTTACAACTCTGTGAACAAAGAAAACATAGAGAACGGGTAAATACACAAAGGATAATATGATGCAAAGTACTTTTCTTATTCACTGAATAAAGAAACAAAACAGGGATGCACATCAACGTACACTTGCCTTCTGCTTTTAAACTAAAACTTGACAGAAAAATAGGAACAACCTAGCTACATGCTAAAGACCAGGGATTAACTTCACACGTGGTCTTTGATTTATTCAATGAAGAAAAACTAACAAATACTGATTAAAACTTGTGTAGGAAATACCCCCCAGCTCTGAATTATTTCAACATTTTCCCTCCTAATTCAGAGCTCTCAACCTTCTTCATACCAGCCAGCTTACACATTTCCTCATGTTTCACTTTAGCCAAAGGTTTTGTGAGTAAATCTGCCTTCTGTTCCTTTCCATCTACATGTGCAACTGTGATTTCACCATTCTCCACACACTCCCTGATAAAGTGAAATCTAATGTCTATGTGTTTGCTTCTTCCGTGAAAAACATGGTTCTTCATGAGCTCTATAGCTGACTTGTTATCAACATACATTGCCACTGGTGGGATGTTTTGACCAGTTATTGAAGACAGGAGCCTTCGCAGCCAAATGCCCTGACATGCGGTCATAGTGGCTGCCATAAATTCGGCCTCACATGACGATAGTGCTACACATCTTTGTTTTTGTGATGACCAAGAAACCAGGTTCCCATTCACACAAAACGTCATCCCTCCTGTGCTTCTTCTATCATCCAAATCTTCTGCATGATCGCTATCCGAATACCCTGCGATATTTATCTTCTTTTCTCCTCTTGTGTAGACCAAACCATGATCTAAAGTCCCCTTTATGTACCTAAGAATCCCTTTCACAGCTTGAAGATGAACCATGGTAGGTCTTTCCATGAAGCGGCTCACTACTCCTACTGCAAATGCCAAGTTTGGACGGGTATGAGTCAGGTACCTAAGTCCACCCACTATACTCCTGTACTCAGTGGGGTTGACCAGCTCTCCACCTCCTTCTTTAGTCAACTGAGTCTTATGTTCCATGGGACTTTTTGTGGGATTACACTCCAACATACGGGTTTTTTCTAGAAGGTTTCTAGCATATGCTTCTTGCTTCAATGAAATAGAGTTCATGTGTTGGTTTACCTCAATTCCCAGGTAGTAGTTAAGAAGACCAAGATCACTCATCTCGAATTTAGCATTCATCTCCATCTTGAATTCTTTCACATCAGTAGTAGAGCTTCCAGTCACCAACAGGTCATCAACATAGACTCCAATAATTAAAGTGTTTCCATTCTTCAACCTGGTATATACAGAGTATTCTTGGGGGCACCTTTTGAATCCAATACTTTTCAAGTAAGTATCCAGACACGAGTTCCATGCCCTGGGCGCTTGTTTTAGCCCGTAAAGTACTTTTGACAGTTTAAGGACCTTGCTTGCTTCACCTTTCTTCTCAAAACCTTCTGGTTGTGTGACATACACCTCCTCTTCTAACTTCCCATTCAAGAAGGCCGATTTCACGTCAAGGTGATGAACACCCCAACCATTCGAACTAGCAAGGGCAAGAATGACACGTACAGTCTCAATTCTAGCAACAGGCGCAAATACCTCGTCATAGTCGATTCCATACTTCTGCACATAGCCTTTTGCCACGATCCTAGCTTTGTGCTTCACTATCTTTCCAGTTGGGTCTCGTTTTACTTTGAAGACCCACTTCAACCCAATTGGCTTCCGATTCTTTGGTAAATCAACTAGGCTCTAGGTATTATTTTTTTCAATCGAGGCTATTTCAGCCTCTATCGCTTGTATCCACTCCTTCTTGCGACTTGCCTCGGTGTAGGTTGAGGGTTCATCATCGCTTCTCACCAACATTAATTCTTCTTGTGGTACTTCGATCTCTTCAGTGTTTTCATACAGGTCGGTGAGCAAACGGTAGCGTTTTGGCGCTCCACCACCTGTGGAGATTGAAACGCTGTTTGGTGTCGAAACCGGAAATCATCGCTCAGGGGTAATTGATGAACCGGGTGAATCTGGTGGCGTGCCAATGGATGCATCGTAATAACTTGGGTGGCCTGGTGAGTTTGTGGGTTGTGATAACTCGGCCCAAGTTTTATTATTTTGTGATGGCCCAATCTCATCCTAGGGTATATTTGACCTACTTTCATGGTCAGGGGTATCCGACACCCGTTCTTCCTGATCACTATTTACCTCGTCACCGAAGTCAAAGCCTTCAACAGCGAACGTCATCTCAGGTGTTGGTTTAATCTTAGACGTAACCTCCCATACCCATCTCCGATTTTCTTCAAAGATTACATCCCTACTTACATATATCACACCTGAATTGGGGTCTAGAAGCCTGTGAGCCTTCGTGCCTTTCTCTGTTCCAAGATACATCAGTTTCTTGCTTCGATCATCCAATATCTTGAGGTGCCCCTTCGCTACTTTCATGTGAGCAACACAGCCAAAAATTGTCAGATGACCGACATGTGGCTTTCTTCCGGTCCATAGTTCATATGGAGTAGCTCCATCTAGAGCTTTTGTGCTTAATCGGTTTAGCACATAGACTGCGTGACTCACTGCCTCGCCCCATAGTACATCGGGTACCATCATCGACTTCAGACAGCTCCGAGCCATCTCAAGTACCGTCCGATTTCGCCTCTCCACCACCCCATTTTGCTGTGGGGAGTAGGGTGCGGTGTAGTGGCGTTCCACTCTGGTTTCTTCACAGTATTCTTCAAATTGATTTGACAAAAACTCGCCTCCACGATCTGTTCTGAGTACTTTTAACTTCTCCCCGGTTTCATTCTCCACTTTGCTCCTGAAATTCTTGAAGATATGAAAGGCTTCATCTTTAGTTTTCATTAGATATACCCACATGACCCTGCTGTAGTCATCAACTAAAAGCATGAAGTATCTGTTGCCTGCAGGTGTTGGAGGTGAGACTGGTCCACAAAGATCCCCATGGACTAGTTCCAATTTCTTCTTAGCCCTGAAACTTGTGCTTGCTGGGAACGGGTTTCTTGATTGCTTCCCTTTCAAACATCCTTCACAGGGTTCTGATGGTATTACCATCTTGGAAATCCCATCAATTAATCCCTTTTCAGACATAAACTTCAAGGAGGTAAAATTTACATGGCCTAGCCTTATGTGCCACAGCCATGTTGGATCACTTAGGTTGGCCAATAAACACCTTGGTGCAACCTCTTCTAGTTGGATTTTATAAAGCCTATTTGGAGACTTCTTCACCTTCATTAGCAGCCTTCCAGTATCATCATGAACCCACAGAAAAGGATCCTTAATTCTGATCTCATCACCTCCTTCAGAGAGCTGCCCAAGACTAATTATATTGCTGCAGAGATCAGGTATGTAATACACATCCTCCAGCTTTCTTTCTTCTCCGTTCTTGCACTAAAGCAGAATTGTTCCTTTTCCTTTAATTCTTACTTTGGATTCATTTCCAAATTTGACAACACCTTGAATTTTTCTATCCAGGTTTTGGAACTTATCTTCATCTCCAGTCATGTGGTTACTTGCACCAGTGTCAAGGTACCACATTTTTGATTGATTCAAGGCTCCCCCATTTGGCTTCACTTCAGGCTTCACTTTCTCTTCATTTAGAAACACCTCCCTTGTTTCTTCAAAGGCTTCTAGCAACAAAGCTGGTTCATTATCATCATGGACCAAATTTGCCTCTTGATTTCGTTCCTTCTTTGGGTTCTTGCACTCTGCTGCATAGTGCCCAAACTCCTGGTAGTTGTAGCACTGCACACCGCTTTTATCTTGACTGCCAGAGTTTCCTTGGCCTCCTTGATTATGGTGACCACCTCTGCCACGACCACCGCGACCTCTTCCTCTGCCTCTTCCTCTGCCACGTGAGCCATTAAAGCCACCCTGGTTTGTCTTTGCCTTTGAGTCACTATCACTTTTCTTCTTGTTCTTCTCTGACCATTGTTGATAGGTCATGAGGAGCTTTCTATCTTCTGGCTCAGCATGACATTTCATCCGTTCTTCATAGGCTTTAAGCCTTCCAATTACTTCTTCAACAGACATGGAGTTTATATCTCCAAATTGCTCAATTGTTGAAGCAATTTGGAGAAACTTGGACGGTACTGCCCTCAACAGTTTCTTCACAATGTAGGACTCCTCTATAGTGTCCCCAAGAGTGCGCATGCTGCTCACAATGTTGCATACTTTTGCAGCAAAGTCATCTATCCCTTCTGTCTCCTTCATTGTCATGGTCTCAAACTCTATTTTCAAGGTCTGTATCCTGGCTATCTTCACTCTATCTGCTCCCATAAACATGGTTTTCAAGGCTTCCCATGCCTCTTTGGCTGTCTTCTTCTCTGCTAAAGAGAGTAACAAATCTTCAGGAATACCTTGATAGATGGCTGCCAAAGCCATCTTATCCTTCTTAACTTCCACAACTGTGTTCTGAGTCCTGGGCTCCACTGCTTCCCAAACCCCTTGAGCTTTCATGAAGACTCTCATTTTTATGGCCCATGCACCATAATTACTTCTGGAGAGCATTGGGTAATGAAGAGTGATCTGACCTTCCTTTTCACCATTTCCATTATTTCCAGTCATTTCTTCTCGGGACTGATACTTGGGCATGCACCTGAAAGCTCTGATACCAGATGTTGGTTTTTACAGGGGCAATAAAGACCGTTTTTAACAAAACAGAGGCACAAAGAAACAAGATTGCACAGGGGACAAAACAGTCAAATGACAGCAAGGGTAAAATGGGGAAATGCAGGTTTACAACTCTGCACTGTGAACAAAGAAAACACAGAGAACAGGTAAATACACAGAGGATAATATGAGGCAAAGTACTTTTCTTATTCACTGAATAAAGAAACAAAACAGGGATGCACATCAATGTACACTTGCCTTCTGCTTTTAAACTAAAACTTGACAGAAAAATAGGAACAACCTAGCTACATGCTAAAGACCAGGGATTAACTTCACACGTGGTCTTTGATTTATTCAATGAAGAAAAACGGACAAATACTGATTAAAACTTGTGCAGGAAATACCCCCAGCTCTGAATTATTTCAACATTCACAAGCAACGAAACATCATCTTTAGTGTCAATGAGCTTGTCCATCAGAAACGCGAAAGAAGTAACATAATGACGACTTAATGCGTAGCATTGCTCATAGGCAATGAGATTCCTCAAGAACGATGGTGTGGACTTAACGAAGTCTGCTCCCTTATTCGTTCCATAGTGATCCGAAATATATTTCAAGAATAAAGAAAGGCATTTGATTTTCTAGAAGCAACAATTAAGTCATGTTTAATGTCACTCATGCATTACCAGATTATTGTCGAAAACTAGATCACCCTCACCAATTCCATACTTGAACCTGTAGATAAGCTCAAGTATGAAAAAACCATCAATAACCATCATTTTAGACAGCTTGAAATCTTCATAGTTTGTAAGACTTGGTGCATAGCAAGCTCTTGCATGTGTTAGATTGCCAAGCAATTCTTGTACGCAATCATAAGTTATTTTCTCTATATCCTCCTCTGTGGACTCCTTAGTTCGAGAAAATAGTCGAAACATGTAAGTCACTTTGTGCTCCTCCATAGCTTGAAGATGTTGATCCCCTTTGTGAAGAGGGCCAATTGAGGTGATTCAAGGTGTATATGCATGCAGTTGGGTTGAGATTTCGAAGTGTATTGGGTACCATACAAATTGTGACAATATTAGATTGCTCGGATTGATTCAGTCTTACTGACAGGGCCGGTCCAGACGGTGGGCAACCCGGGCGACCGCCCAGGGCCCAAGACTCCAGAGGGCCCAAAAATTTATGGTTATGTAGTTTATATATATAATAAAAGTTATTACCAAAATGATTTTTAGGATCTAAAGCTGATTGAAACTCAAATTAGCTTAAAAGATAAACAATTTAGTTTGTTTGTTATTGTTAATTGAACACTTCTATATTGGAGAGTAAATTATAGTTTTTGAATCTTTATTATATTTTTCTTTGAGGGGCCTTTTTTTTTTCTTTTCGCCCCGGACCTCATATATGTTTGGACCGGCCCTGCTTACTGATTCACTTTTTATCAGTTTACTGATGAAATCGTGAACTTCTTTTCTGTAATCGTCAGCTTCTGTTTCCATAACGAATCCTGTAGCTTTTGCGTTGTTGCTGACCAAAGACGTCTAGGATATATCTACACGAATTGATCAAAATAAACTGGTCAGAAATTAGCCAAATTACAAGTTAATTTGCAACTACGAATAATCAACTTATCATGATTTATGTTTAGCATAAACCTTGGGTGGAAGAAGTACGTTCAAGGTAGGTTCGCTATTAATTTTTTTTTGTCCCCATATCATTGACATATATCATGAGTAAATCAAAATCTATAATTGACGTAGTACATGGTACCAGTGCTGTGTGTTCACTTCATATTAATTTAGATTCATGCATATACATTGAAATTTTAAAGGTGCTTTATTGTGAATCAGGAACAGTAAGATGTAACTTCAAGCTTTTATTCATGTGCATCTACTAGGCTCATAAGTGTGGTCGTCATGCCTCATCCATGACACTGAGGTGGAAGGTTTTCACGTTGTGAGCATCGCTCCCTAGTCGTGAGGCTGGGGTACGTGGTGTATGAACCCTAGTGTTGAAGTGGTGGAGGGTGGCTGAGGGGTGGCGGGATGACCATATAGCATGATTGTTTGATTTTTTTTTTTTTTCGTTCATTCTTTTGGGTAAAAAAAAAATCCTTGTAAAAAGAAATCAAGGTTCGCAAAAAAACAACTTTTCTACAAACAAGCATAATTATAAAATTTTGGAAAAAATATAATGTTTGTTTCTATAAATACCAAGAGAAAATTTTTGTCTCCAAATGTCAAGAAAGGTTAAATTATTCTTCTCGTAACTATATTTGTCTGTTTGCAAGAAAAAATTCAAAAATATTTTGTTTAAGAGATCATATTTTACTTATAAAAAAACTATTGCTTTTATAAACTATATATACATTATACAATGAATGGAAGGGAGACAAAGAACAACTACGGCAAACAAAATAAATAGATAAACCATTCTAACCCTAAGATTAAATATGGCAATCTGCCAAGAGTTTGTTTGGGATTGTTTATTTAACTTAATAAGCTTTTTGATAAAAGTTTTTATTAACTTATGACGTGGTTTTTAAAAAGATATTTAGATTAGTTTATATAGTGGCAATAAGCTATAACATGGGTTTTAAAAAAGTGCTTATATTAGGTTATTTGATGACAACAAACTATAACCGATAAGTTTTTTTTAAATGTGTTTGGTTAACTTATAGTCATTTTAGATGAAAAAATCATAATTTATAACTTTTTAAAAACAAATTTTTAATGGTTGTAAAAAGTTGTTTTTAAAAGTATATTTCTATTTCTCAAACACTTTTTAAGCTAATTGATTTTTTAAAAAACTAATAAATCAAAATAAGCATTTTTCAAACTCAATGTCAAATACCCTCTAAATATATGCAGCTTTGTGTCTCATTAAATGTTGCATAAGAAATATGTTTACACAAGTGAAACATTTGGTCACGAAGTTTACACAAGTGAAACATTTTGATATTCCACATTCACCTTGGCGCAAGTCAAACACTTGCCCACGAAGGTAGTGATCTCTGTTTTCATGTTTGACAACCAATAGAGCTTTTTGATATCCAAATACATCTTATCTGAACCTAGGTTAATGGAGTATGGAGTCCTGTGAACTTTGCTCATGACACCTCTCTGTAACCACCGAACTTTGGGATCTAGATCTGGTTCATGAAATAGTAGACTATGTCTCCCTTGATCTCTAAGTTCTTTTCCATTCCCCTTAAAGCTTCATCCGACATGTTCTCTGGTTTCAAGGATTCCAGTTGAGCCTATTTGATTTGAGCGGGAAAATGGGAATGGATGGTCATTATCAGTGTCTTCACTCTGTGACTTGAGTACTTTTTCCGGCTGAGGGTGTCTGCTACCACATTGGCCTTGCCTGGATGATAGCGTATTTCACATTCATAATCATTGAGTGGCTCTACCCACCGCCGTTGCCTCATGTTCAACTCTTTTTGATCAAAAATGTGTTGTAGGCTCTTATGGTCAGTGAAGACAGTGCACTTAGTTCCATAAAGATAATGTCTCCATATCTTTAATATGAAGACCAATGCTCCCAACTCCAGGTCATGAGTTGTATGATTGAATTCGTGTGCCTTCAGCTATCTCGAGGCATAGGAAATAACATTTCCTCGCTGCATGAGCACACAGCCTAGTCCTTGATTGGATGCATCACAGTAGACAATGAAGTCATCCGTCCCTTCTGGCAGAGACAAGATAGGTGCATTGCATGAGGCCTGCTTTAATGTTTGGAACGTAGTCTCTTGCTTTTCTCCCCAACTAAAGGATACACCTTTCTGAGTTAGAGTGGTCAAAGGCTTAGCAATCCTGGAGAAGTTCTGGATAAATATGCGATAATAGCCAGCTAGACCCAAGAATTGACGGATTTATGTGGGCGTCTTCGGTGCTGACCAATTCTTAATCGCCTTGATTTTGGAAGAGTCCACGTGTATGCCTTCCTCGCTAACCACGTGACCGAGGAAAGTTACTTTTCTGTTCCAGAATTCAAACTTAGAGAATTTCGCATACAGTTTCTCTGCCCGTAAGTTTTCTAGCACTAGCCTCACATTCTGTCTATGATCTTCCTCGCTTCGAGAATACACAAGTATATCATCAATGAATATGGTCACGAACTTGTCTAGGAAGGGGCGGCACACCCGATTCATTGGATCCATGAATACCATCGGTGCGTTGGTTAGACCAAATGGCATCACTACAAATTCGTAGTGGCCATACCAAATACGAAATATTTTCTTAGGAATATCACCCTTATGGACTCGCAATTGATGGTACCCTGATCTGAGGTCTATCTTTGAGAAGTAACCGGCTCCTTGAAGTTGATCGAAGAGGTCGTCGATTCGGGGAAGAGGATAGCGACTCTTGATGGTGAGCTTATTTAGTTCGTGATAATCTATACACATCCAAAAGGATCCATCCTTCTTTTTTTAAAATAAGACTGGGGCTCCCCAGGGTGAGAAGCTTGGTCTAATGAATCCTTTGTTTAGCAGTTCATTGAGTTGGCTGGATAACTCCAGCATTTCTATCGGCGCTAGACGGTAAGGGGATTTGGCTATAGGGGTAGCTCCGGGGATTAAGTCAATTTTGAACTCGACTTGGCGTTCGGGAGGGATTCCGGGAAGATCTTCGGGGAAAACATCAGGAAAGTTGCAGACTTCGGGGATGCTCTCGAGGTCTTTAACTTCTTGTTTTTCGTTCACGACATAGGCTGGGAAAGGTTGACACTCTTTTCACATATATTTTTGCGCTTTGATGCATGATATGATACGAAGGTTTTTGCTAAGTTTATCGCCATAAATGATGAGGGCTTCGCCATTAGGCAGATTTAAGCGAATGGCTTTTTCGAAACAAAGGATATTAGCACGATGAAGACTTAACTAGTCCATGTTGATAATGACATCAAAGATCTTAATGGAGATCGGCATAACATCGATAGGAAAGGAATAATCATTTAGGGTAAGGGTACAACCTATGAATACATCGTTAGCGCTCTTTTTCTTACCATTAGCCATCTCGATGGTAAATACTTCAGTTAGAGGTTGGGATTTATGTTTGAGTAGATGCTTAAATGCATGGCTAACAAAACTTCTCTCCACACCAAAATCAAAAAGGATGCATGCATAACAGTTGTCGAGGAGGAACGTACCCGTGACTACGGTGGGATCAGCAACTTCATCTTCCTGGTCCATAGTTATGACTCTTCCTGTGTTGCCTGCTCTTGTTGCTTTTGGGCAATTCCTTTTATAATGCCCAGTTTCACCACAGACATAGCAGGCTTGACCAACTCCCGCTCCAGGATCCTGATTGGTTGGTTGGACTTATGTCTTGCAAAAACGAGTTGTGTGCCCCTTTTGCCATAGTTGTTGCACAGTATTTCAGGGCACGGTCTATGATGGCAGAAGTCACACTTGTCACACCTTGGTAGGGTTCCAGCATATCTACTGGTAGGTGCTTGAGCTGTAGGGGCAGCGGCAGGAGTAGTAGCGACATACACTGCCACTACTTGCTGCTTCTTGAAGGGATCCTGCGAAGACTTTCCCTTGTGCTTATTCCAGAACTTTTTCTTCCCACCGCTCTCCTTGGGTAGTTCATGGGCAGCTAGCACGGGATCCTACCCCCATGATTAATCCAACTCTGTGCCAATTGTTTGGCACTATTAAACATCAACAGTTTTGCAGCCAGGACATTTCCTTGAGTTGGGGGTGTTAATCCTCATATGTATCTTTCTACTTTCTTGCCCTCCAGGGTGACCATTCTCGGGCAGAGAAGAGTAAGATCATTGAATCTCACAATGTAAGTAGTAATGTCGGAGCCTTTCATATTTAAGTTCCAGAGTTCCTCCTCTAGCTTCTGCATCTCGCCTCGTGGGCAGTACTCAGCAAGCATCGGTTCTTTTAGATCCTCCCAACTCATGGCATTAGCCACCGAAAATGTTAGAGATTTGACATGGC